GTCCCCGTATTTTTTCCTTTGCTAGCGGCACATTGAACATGTGGAACTCTCGGCTCCTCCAGACTCTAGTTTTTTTAACTGTTTGGCGTGTGCGAGAGGAACTGTGTAAGGAACCCACCCACCCACGATGCATTTAAATGAAACAGAGAGGAAAGCTGCCTCCCACCCACGCACCCAATGCCCGCCTAATAAGACCACAAATAAGACCAAGACACCGGAAAATGGGGGAGGACTCGGGTTTGAGGAGCCTGAGATGTGTTTAGGCAGATGGAAAGGTGGGGGCTGGGGCGGGGGAGAGGAAGAGGCACGGAGCCTTAGAATGGCATCCGCAGGAGAAACACGAAAAGAAATGACGATGCAGACGTGTCCCGGCATTGAAAGCAGCGGGTCAGCTCTAAGAGCTGAGATTTTGATCGGCGTTATTGCCCCGTCGCTCTCTTTTGGGAGCGATTTGGATAACCATTAAGCTGTACATCTGAAATCAATACAAAATAAAATTGAAAATAAATAAATAAATAAATAAATAAAAGAGAATACCGGAGTCTCCGCCTTGGCCACCCAGGTGCTTTGCATTTTGTAAACAAGCTTCAATCAGCGGTTCTCAACCTGTGGGTTGCAACCCTTTGGGGGTCGAACGACCCTTTCACAGGGGTCGCCTAAGACCATCCTGCATATCAGATACTTACATGATGATTCATAACCGTAGCAACATTACGGTTATGAAGTAGCAACGAAAATAATTTTATGGTTGGGGGTCACAGGATGAGGAACTGTATTTAAAGGGCCAGAAGGTTGAGAACCACTGAAAGTGTTCTGGACTTCCAGGAAGTTAACTGGAATTGGAACCCAAGCATCTCATGGGCACGGAGTGGAAGCTTAGAAAACGGAGGGATGGCCGAGCGCCTCTGCATTCGCCATCACACCCCAGGGAGCCCCAAAGTCGCCCAGAGCGCAAACTCAGGCACCTTCAACCTATTCCTTCTTCTGGCATTTCCATTCCGGACTGAAAAAGAAGAAATACGGAGCCTTTCAAAATAACTCCGAGGGGTAACACGTGGATCTTGCGGAAACGGAATTATGTTTTTAAAGAAAATCTGTTTCTCCACCGGAAAGATGTTCTCATTTCTATCTGCAACATACCCAAGCCAAAGGGAATCTGTAATAGCCATTCCGAACACCTCCGAGCCAGGCCGGCCCACAGAGGAACAGTTTCCAGCCCGCCCTTTGCAGAATTCCGTTGTAAATCCTTCTAGTTTGCCAAGGGGGCAGCAAAGCACAGGGATAGCTCCTCAGGCTGCAGCATCAACAAGGAAGATCACAGTGTAGGGCAAACACTCATCTATCTGCTTCTAAGCATGCGTCTTTGCATGTGTTTGTAAGTTACACAAGCATCCCCACGAGGCTCTTTCATTGAGGATACCTTGATCTGAGATAACAGTATACTTAGTTCATCTTTAAGAATGCATTTTTGTTTACAGACAAAACAGAACCTTACAGGTTTAACTTTCCTGACTTATGCTCCTGGAAAATGAATGGGACTGAAAAAGGGAGAGGGGTTGATTGCAGATGTACAGAATTTGCATTTTATCATTGCTGTTCCTAAATAGTAAGAAAACAATGTCACGTGGATATACTTCCTCTTCAAGATGATGATAATCAGGACAAGGAAAATTGAGTATGGAAAAATATATCAAATAGATGAACAGATTCAATGTCATCAATGTGTCATCTACAGAAACCGTGAGTCAGCTTCAGAAATGGGTGATGGGCCAGAGGTAGCAAAGAATAATAAATGTGATTCAGGGACTCCAGAGTACAATGATTTTGCAGACTCCGAAAACTGTGATCATTAAGTTACTTTATTTTTATTGAGGAAACTATCACTCCTATATAAATTTGGGAAGTACAGAGATAAAAACCAAATCTGCCAGCCTCACATAACAGAAAGTCAGCTCATTAGTTATTCTTAGGAGGCTTTCAGTCTTCAGGGGAGTTTTCACTTCAATGGAAATTTGACTGCCATCTCAAATCCTTTTGTACCCATGTTTCTCGTGCCCTTCCCCCTCTATCCCTGCACACATTCATTGGCCTTTCTAATACCTGGTGAAAATAAAAGTAGTGCAGGACTCTGATTCAGAAGATAGTGGTGGAAGCCCAAGGCACTGAAATTTCGATCTTGGATAAGTTTAGTTTTGAGCCACTGTTTACTCATTTATAAAATGGACATAAAGCCCTAACGGGTTTGGCTCAGTGGATAGAGCGTCGGCCTGCAGACTCAAGGGTCCCAGGTTCAATTCCAGTCAAGGGCATGTACCTCCCCCCACCCCCGGTGTGCGCCCTGTGCTCCCCGGAGAAGACAGCTACCAGCTTCATAATATTGTCACATCATGAAATCATGAATCAGTGTTTGGGAAAGTGCTTTAGAAATTTGAGTTGTTATTGCTAACAATATTCTTGCATCACCTAGTCCCAGACTTCAAAACAGAGGAAAATTACATCCATCGAAACATACTCAGTTTCCCCTAACATTACTGTGTTACATTATCTTGAAACATTTAACGAAAAGAAGAAACCAATGCTACCACAATGCTATTAACTAAACTCCATATTCTATGTACATTTCATCAGTTTTTCCACTAATGTCTTTTTCCGGTTTCAGGATCCCTTTTAAGATACTGCACCGCCTTTAGTCACCATACCTCCTATACTTTGTGACAGCTCCACAGTCTTCCCTTGTTTTTTGTGACCCTCAGACTCTTGAGGGGGTAATGGTCAGGTATTTTGTCTGTCAGATTAGATGTGTCTGATGTTTTCTCATGATTAGACTGTAGTCATGGGTTTGGGGAAAGAACACCACGGAGGTGGAGGGTTCTCATGACATCATATGAGGTGGTACACGATGTTAGCATGACCTCCTGATGATGACATCGGCACTCTCTAAGGTATTGTATGAAAGGTTTCTCCACTGCAAAGGTATTTGTCCTTTGCTACACTCTATCCTTTGGAGGTGAGTCGCTAAGTTCCGCATGAATTGAGAATTTTAAAATGAGCCAAATAAGCATCTAGTTCAACTTGCAAACAGCCCCCACCTTCATCCCACCATCCCAGATAGTGATTCACCCAAGAATAATCTCCCAGGAAATTCCTCCCGTGCTTTATATATTTAGGAAAGTGGTCAGCAATTTCCTCTTGGCTATATATTTGGAGCCCATCTTTAACAATCCAGTCATTCTCCAAATCCTGTTTATTCTTTTCGGAAATGCTCCCTTCCTTTGGAATCCTCATTGCCCCATGAGGTTGATTCAGAATTCCAACTTCCCTGTAAAAAGATGACATCCATGACCTCTTACCCTTTTTTTCCATTCATGGTTTTCTGACAATATGGCATTCATATCATTCTCTCTTAAAGTGAAAATGGCTATCTGTGTGTCTGTCTCTGGACTACATCTGTCTCAAAGAATTGAGTTGGTCTTAGTTTTTTATTCTCCTGGTAAATGTTCAAAACAAGCTTGTTGAATACATGAATAAGCTCCTCCTTTCTCCTAAGATGAGGATCTTTGTAAGGAAATTCATGGTTAACACACTGTAGAGAAGTAGCTTTTCATTTCTCTCATGAGTGTAAAATACTCCTAATATATTTCAGACACCCTTTTTGTGAGTGTAGCTTGATTCATATGAATCCATAACATTATTTCAACACCCTTCTGATTTTGAAACACCTCACTACAATATATAATTCATCATGAATCTAATAATCATTTGTAGAAAGCACAAAATACATAGCAGGACTCTGATGAATAGACTCCATCACTAGTCCCTGTTCTGTCAAAACTCTTAGTCTAGTGGAGTCAGATAGACAAACATTTACACACTCGTTAGGTAAATATAACAATTCGGTATATGAAGATTACTTCAATGCCTTGAAAATGTTTCTCTCTACAGGAAAAACTTCATCAAAGTGATGATGAGATTCCTTTGAAAATGTCCTGATTTTATAAGGGACTTGGCGACATCATTCTTATATCCAGCCTTCTGCATTCAGCAGTCTCAGGTACCAACTGGAGCTCCCTGTCTCACGGAAAGCTCTTTGGGCCAAGAATTGGAAAATCAGTGTGGAAGTAATTGTTTGAATCTCCATTTCCCCAAGCATTGGATTCTTTGCCTTTTCATGCAGGTTACAAGATGATTATGAGTGAACAAAAACAGAAGGCACACACTGACAGGAAACAAACGCACATTAAACCATGGAGATTTCCTCTTACAGAAACCTGCCATTTGTTAAGCAATTGCTCTGTTCCAAAGGGAAGCTGGCAAGAACTTGAAGCACACATTCTCCCACAGCACTGGGGAAGAATAAGAGTCGGGAAATGCCTTTTTAAAAGGGGTACAGGGTGATATAAAGACGTGAGCCATTTTAAGGAGAGATGAAAGATCTACCCAAGGGCTTGTTCAAACCTGGTC